AAATTGATGTGGGTACTCAAATGAAAGCTCTTGATGAGTGTAACATCGGGATGCGCTTATATCTTTAAAAACGTCAATAATTAAGAAAGTACATGGAATTTTAACACATATCTTGTGAAATATTGACATTTTTAAAGATATAAGCTCATCCCGATGTTACACTCATCAAGAGCTTTTATTTGAGTACCCACATATGCATTTTCATATATTTTTCATATATACATATATATAATATATATAAATATATGATAAATTGATGTGGGTACTCAAATGAAAGGTTTTAATGAGTGTAACATCGGGATGAGCTTATATCTTTAAAAATGTCAATATTTCACGAGATAAGAGGTCATTTCTTAATTATGTATCTAGAGATGGAGCATTTTCGAATGCAGCCTAAATATTTATTATGACAAATTGACTATTGGGGAGAATAATTTAAAACCTTGAAAATGCATAAATTCAAGTCAAGACGTTTCTAATGATACCTAATTTAACCATAAAAACCCATTTTATCACATAAATATATTAGCCACAAAATTAATCTTATTCTCTTAATAATATAGATTAATTGAAAATTAATTTTAGCATGAATAAATTTATTTTTATACATAGTCTATCCTATTCTATTTTGATGAGATCAGTCATTAGCATCGTACTGCACTTATTATAATTTACAGTGTACAATAACATAGAAATATTAATACGATGTAAAAAACTCTAATTACAGCCAGAATTATTTTTATCACTTAACTGTCTATAGGCGTATAAAAATTTTCAATAATTAAAGGAACAATCCAGTATGCGTGGAGAACTTATAATTTCATAAATAAATTCTCACTTAATTTAAATCATCGAAATTAACTGGTGTGTCTATCAGTTCTGTCCTCTACTTCCGGTACTTCACAGAATAAATTTACTATCTCCGTAATAATCCAACTAAGCCGAGTTCGAATTATAACTGTTAATTTTTAAACAGTTTATACAGCTCAATAATTAATTATTTATTTACAAATAATAAACATCACACTTGCGGTGAAAAACTGAAAAAAAAAAAAAAATAAATCTTTTCTAAATAAATACCGGCTTATATAATAAAAACAAATATAATTAATTAAATAATTACCAGCGAGATCAGTGCGATATATTTAATAAAATCGAGTTTGATTTCCTCATTCTCAACGACTTTCTCTTGACAACTGTTTCTTCTTATTTTCCTTTGATTATACCAGTCAACCAGACTGCAAATGATATTTGCGTTTGACAATTCAATAATAAATACTTTTAAACGATGAGCGCTGCTGTACTTTGTATTCTGTTTGTTGCTAATAATAAATACCAGTTTATTATTGCTAAATTTCATTGCAGCTCTCAATAAACACATCTTAGTATTTTTTATAGCTTCACTGTAAAATAAATGAGAAAAAAAATTATTAATTCATATTCTTATTTACATACATAAAGATAATAAATAATCTTACTATAATTAATTATTTTTATAATTTAAAATACCAACAATACATATAAAAAAAAAAAAAAAAAAGTTTAATAATATAAATGCTGATAATTTCAAAGAAAATGCTCGATGAAAATTGATAGTATAAAAATAAATTTAAAAATAGTTTTATCCAAAAAATTTTCCACCAGATAAAAACTAATTAGTTAAAATTTTGCACGCCTCATAGTGCGAAGCGCGTGAGGTTGTGCTTTATACTTGACTCATTAAGATCGAGCAATTTTGTGATCTTTAAATGCCTCTATCACAACCATATTACCTTTATACAATGATATAAGTAGATGTACACTGAAAAAACACTTAAATTAAATCATCTGTTACTTTCTAAAATCATTTTATGTTGCTATTTTGAAAAAAAAAAACGTTTTGAAAAAATTTTACGTGGACGTCCGGATGTCACCCCATTTTGGATGTACCAATGATTACTCCCGAACAAATTGATATTTCAAGACCGGATCTTTTTTATTAGTTTAAGAATTCGATTAACTGGGTCCGTATTGCATATCAGTGGCCTAGCTTACGTATTTTTTTTTTAAATTGAATTTTTATTAAAATTTACTACGATAAAACCGTACAAAGCTAAACGAACTTTCCTTATTTGTCACGTGAAAACTATGGCGCCACTTGATCAAGCTAGATTTTTTTTTAGACTGCGTGCGCGCATGACAAGAAGAAAGGGCGCCGATAATTTAAAAAAAAAATAAAAATACTCTGTAAGAAATTACTTAATTATTAAGTTTTTTTTTTTTTTTTAATTAATTACACAATTAATTTTTTTCTTAAAAAATGAATGAGCGCTATGAGGCGTGCACTTTTGGATTTTCCAAACTTTTTTTTTCTAGAAGTGTTAAATTTCTATTACATTAAACTTTTTTTGATTAGTTACATTCGATTTAAGATAAAAAAGTCGATATCACTTAGTTTTGTTTTTTTCGTTCCAAAGTTGGCTAGTTTTAAAACAAAAAAGTCATAATTACGTTAAAATCAAATTAATTTTCATAGTTTTGTGAATTATAAAGTTAAAGAAGTTGAAAGTAAAATTAAAAAAATTTGACAGCATCAATTATGAGATGTCCGCGTATAAAAAGGAATAAATAAATAAATCAATAAATAAATATAAAATCAGAAATTTTTCACATGAACACTCAACCAGTAAACGGTTTGGTGATTGTTAAGGATCTTTTTTTAAATTGTAATATTAATTGATTATCTTATAAGCTGAAACAACGAGAAAAGATATACAAATTCTATGTAGCTGAAAGAATCAAAAATTATTAATTTAATATTTGTGGTTTCCGTAGAGCTCGAACACATCGTGGGCATCTTAAATATCGACGTTCTAATTAGCGAATTGTGTAACTCCATTTTAGAGATTCTTCTATTTGTACGAAAAAAACAATTAGTCCAAATTTTATTATCACTTTAAAAAACCATTTAATATTATTATTATCTAATAGAGATATAATATTTAGGTTTGAATCATTCAAATAATTTATAATTCGATTATGACTACATCAAAATGTTAAAAAATCACCCTCTAAAAAATAAGGAGTTAGACAAATTGCTAATTAGACCGTCGATATTATATCTACATTAAAACTATCTGTTCTTGATAGAGTATTGAAGAGTACCTATAGAAGAGATTGAAAGATTTGAACTTTTTCTATCCTATAAACATTTTTATTCTCATTATTAGCTTTCGATTAAATTAAAAATAGAGGAAGAAATAAAAAAAATAGTAATTTTTGTTTTTAATGTGTATGCGATATTTTTTTAATAGATATTTTTTGATGTACAAAATATATTTTATAGATTGTTAGAATTCCTAAAGAGCTATTGATCGCTAAAGAAAAAAAAAATCTTGAACTTTATCCGAAAACTTTAATTCGAATATTTTATCGAGAAATGTTTTCCGATTTAAAAACATACCTCAACTTTTAATAAATGACACATTTATTTTTTGATACCTTTTTATGCAGAAGAAGAATTTAGGAAATTCGTCAAACTATTGAATGTAGATTAATCGATATTATTATCAAATCGAATTTTTGCAACGATATAGGTCATGGAGGTCTTAACACGAAAAGTTAAAAAAAATCTATTCGAACCCAACTTTAAAAACCATTTTCAGTTTTGCTTCTTTTTGCAATTAATTTTTCCGAACTAGTAATATTACTACAATTTCGACCTTTTACCCCTTTCCAACAGTTATCTCACTAAATTTTTAACTCAATTTATCAGATTTTCGAGGGGTATGAAAGATAGCAGCAGTAGTATTTTCCGAAACTACAAGTATACTTGAAAATGGTGTTTTAACCGCATTGAATTTTCACTTATAAGTATACTATAGTGAATAATAATGTATACATAAAAAAAAATAAAAACAGTATTACAGTCGAATCTAGTTATGAGACTAGTTCGGAATCGTGAAATGACAGTATTTCTAACATTCTTTTTAAGAAATCAACTGTCACTCGGTAGAAAAATAGTTGAAGGAAAAGTTTCAAACAAATATTAGTATTTGAAGAAGAAAGGCCACGAACCGTATCGTCATAAGACATTCCGATTACAATAAATTTTTACGTTAAAATTTAGAGTACTCTTGCTAAAAAACATTATCGTATCTCTTATAAGCTCTGAAAGATGGCGCTAGTAGTATTTTCTTATATAACAATTGTTAGAAACGCGTTGTTCTACAATTTCCCTTTTATTAAGAATTATGAGAGCTTTATATATGTATAAGTTAAGGGTTTACAATAATATAAGTATATGGGACAATAGAGATTAAGATTAGTCTAAGTGTATGAATGAAGATTTGCTCAGAAGTAAAGTCGTCCCTCCCTTGTCGCTCGGGTCCTAGAGGTACCCCAAGGGTAGGGGGCAAATGCAAGGCTCGCCTGTACATCCCATATCTCACTATCGCTCCTTGAGACTAGAGGGTGGATCTTCTGATTACCCCTAGCTTGGTGGAAGGGGGACGACGTCACTTTCACAACTATACTTGAAAATGGCGTTTTTTATGTTAAAAAAGCGGGTTTAAAAAAAAATTGTGGAATTCATTGATTATTTTAGTTTTTTTTTTTTTGGATATATAATTCCAAAATACTTGAATATTGAGTAAAAACAACTTGATCAATTAACAAGTTTTCGTTTTTGAAGTAACCGTTAAATTGAAATGTTCTAATTTGATGTTTTTAATGAAAAATTTCTTTGCGATAAACTTTTATGAATCGAACTGATTAAAATTAGTACCAAATATGGGTTAAAGGCATGTACATTTGAAATCACGGAATTTGAACAGTAAATATCTCTGAAATTCAAATGATGAACAGTAAAGAGTACAGGATAAAATAAAACGCGAATAAAGTTGAGAATTAAAAGGAAAACTGGTATTAATGCAGCAGATAAGCTATTCTGCAAACTTCAGCAAATATGGTAGATTTAGTAAACAGAGCGCAAACTCATACGTTTCATTATCAGCCAAGATAATGTATGAGGTTAATTAATTATTTAGAATATTATTGTTATTATTATTGGTATCTACGGCAGCGTTTTCGCTTATTAAATAAACAAATCCATTATTCAACAGTCATACTTCCGGAGATGAATTGAATGTTTTAAGTAAAACTAAAAATAATAAAACCAAGAGTTTGTCGATAGTTGAACTATTTTTTTTTTTAATTAAATTAGTTCGATGAAAGTTTTTTTAAATCACAGATTTGAACAAGCTTGCGGATGGATGGATTTTTTTTTTATTAAATTTCGTCTGTGCAAATGATTTCTTTGTGTGTAACAGCGTCAAATATCCGTCGGACGGCAATCGACACTCGACTTCCTATAGCCATCGACGTAGACACGTCCACGGAAATTTCAATATCGAGTGCAAGCGAGGAGACTGAGTGAGATGGGTTTATATGCAGATAGATAGATAGATAGATAGATGGTTGGATGGATGAATACCAGAGGAGGCAGATGGATAGATCTGCCAGACATGCAGTAGGTGATGCTAGTCTGCTAGTAGTTGGTAGATTGAATACCATTCGAGTGGGAACTCGATAATTTTTAGACCCAACGCTTCTGCTTCTAGTTCACTTATACATCTGACTCTTGACAGAAAAAAAATACCAACCAAGAATATTGGTTGTCAATTTGTGTGTGTCACTATTTGTCCAAGAAACTTTTTGAATTTAACGGTTTAAGCTAGTTTTATTACCGATATTATTTATATCTTTAGACTTCCGTCGGCAAACAGCAAGCGGAAATAATTATTGCTGGATTTCGTAGATTTATTTTGTTTAGTAACTGATATTAGTTGATATTATCATATGACAATGACTAATGGCTAATTTTTGACCTTTCAAGTTTAAATTTTGTTTTGTAATTATGGAGTATGTATCTATACATTTGAATATTAATTTGTGATACTTGCCGAATGGGGTTATCTATTTGAGATTGAGATTAGCAGTCGATACATTCAATCAACGGGATTCTATTACATTTATTTACTTGAAAATTGATAAATTTTTAGTAAAGCTGATAATCATTTTTGCAAAAAAATAAGTTATTGTTTTTTATTACTTTCAAAGCTTTAAATGGTCATTGCTTTAATAATATAATAATCGTTGGAACAACGTAATTAATCATTTCATTATTTTATTACATTTGGAAAAACAAAATTGTAAAAAAATTATGGAAAAGATAACAAAAATTTGTAAATTTTTCTTTTCTCAATCCATTTTTATTCTTAATGAAAAGTAAGATCGGAAAAACTAAGAAGTGCAAAAATTTTTAACATAAAGAGTCTTTTTTTCAAATATTTTGAATAGCAAATTTAATAAATTGGATGTAGTTGATATGAATCAAACATATTTATACTTATTGTAGATATT